CAATTCTGACTTTTTTCTCGCAATTGCGAGTTTATATCTCACAATTCTCAGAAAAAAAGTCAGAATTGCGAGATATAAACTAGCAATTGCGAGAAAAAAGTCAGAATTGCGAGTTTTTATCTCACAATTGTGACTTTATAACTCGTAATTGCGAGTTTATATCTCACAATTCTGTGAAAAAAAGTCAGAATTGCGAGAAAAAAAGTCAGAATTGCAAGTTTGTATCACGCAATTCTCAGAAAAAAAGTCAGAATTGCGAGATATAAACTCGCAATTACCTTTTTTTTATTTTTTATTCAGTGGCAGAAACGGGCTTCCATAAATTACACTGTAACAAGGACACCTTAAAAAAAAGTGTAACCGAAAAATATTGTACCTTAAAAACAGAGATTGTTTCTTCAACTATGGGCACTTATTTGTTCAGTGGAGCATTTTAACATTACAAAAAGTTGAAACAGATTTCAGCATTTTGTTATTTTATTATATGAAGGTTTTTACCAGGCCTTTAATATTTATTTTTGCTATTTAAATGCCTTTAAAGTATAACATTTTATATATTTTTAACCCTTGTCCTTGAGCCAGACTTTTAATCTCAATTAATTAGTATTAGATACATCCCATAAAAATATGAGTCCCTGCATTTTAAAAACTATGAAAATCTAAGCAAAGAATTGTATAAAGATAAACCAAGGACACAAAATAGTCAATGAAGTACTTTTAGTGTGCGTCGTTTACAGTCAAGCTGTCATTTTGTTGTTTTGAAAAAAAAAAAGACACAATCTTTGTGTGTGTGTGTGTTTAGGATATATAAAATCTTATCAGAAGAAATGAGTCAGCTGGTTTATTGCAGAAAGGTTGAAAATGTCATTTCCATCAGTTATTCACACCACAGATATTGCTATTAAACAATACACGGTCACACTTTATTTTAAAGTCCAATTCACATTAACTAACTATTTACTATGTATTTGCCTTAATAAACTCCTAATTAGCTGCTTATTAATAGTTAGTAAGGTAGTTGTTAAATTTAGGTATGGGGTCAGATTAAGGGATCTAAAATATGCTCATGCAGAATAAGACATTAATATGTGCTTTATAAGTACTAATAAACAGCCTATAAGCTAGTAATATGCATGCTAATAATCAACTAGTTAATAGTGAGAACTGGTCCCTAAACTAAAGTGTTACCCAATACACATTTGTAAATGTTCAGGACTTTCAGAAAAACTACAGTATTCTCTTGACACATGTATGTCCACTGTTGGACGTTAGTAGACAAATGACAAACTAGTAGGAGTGTGAAAAGAGTTTTACCAGAGTTCCCAAGGCCAAAAGTGCTCATAGATAATAGTACGAGTGTGTGCTTGAGAAAGAGCAAAAAAAAAAAAAGGAACTGCAGAGGAATCTGGAAGGCAACAGGAAAGCCCTCCGACTTTGTGACCCTGGAGTCCGAATGGATCAGACATCTGTGCATGTGCTCATGTCCTGCTCATTCTCAAACCCTGCCTGCCTCTGTTATGTCCAAAAACGCTAATATGATTTGCTCCTCCGAGCTCCTTTGTCATCTCCGTCCTGTGTAAACAAGAATGTGAGCTTTTAGAAGTCTTCCAGCGCCCAATCAAGTCACACTGGCAGGACAAAATGTCAAACATCAACATCTGTCCAACATAAACATCATCTATGCTGAGCTCTGTACTGACATTACACTCCACATGGGAGGTTTTACATTCCTGTCCACTGCGACTGCTGATGTTTAAAGCTGTTTAAACACAAGTTTGCCTGAATCATTCTAACTGTTTATTGTACATCTTTTTTCTGTCTCTTTGTTGCTCCTTCCTTCTGTTTTTTCTCTCAACTTCCTGCCTCCATATCTGTCTCTCTTCCTCTCTCCCTTTCTTTCTGTCTCTGTTTGTGGGTGTTGTAGGTACCATGGCTAACCATCTCATCTCCAATGCTTTGTTACGTCCTCATGGCACTAATCCTTATAACACACTGCTGGGAGAGTCTGCTGTGTACAATAACCCTACTGCCAACATGTTCAACACGCAAGGTTTGCCTCTCACATACACATTCACAAACTTTAGCACTTTTTGGATGGTAATTGTCTCTCGGGGTGACAACTGTAAAGGAAAACATACATGACGAGTCCTTGGAAAAAAAAAATTTATTCAAAAATGAACATTTTGTCATTTCCATCTTTTATTCAAAACTGCATGACTTTAGCCTTTTGTTTATATAACTGCTGTAAGTTTTTAATATTATTTTTATTATTATTAGATCTTTTAGATTTATATACATTTTTATAAATATAAATTTTATGTAAATGCATATTTATTTAAACATCTTACACACAAACATATGGGGTATTTCCAGAATCATAAATTCTAATAATCAGTGTTTAAAATGGCACCTATTAAAAAATTTATTTAATTGACATATAATTTTAATATATTTCACAAAAGAATTGTTATTTTTGTATGTTTTATAAAAATTTTACAAGTTAACTTTTATTTTCAAAAACCCCTTAATTAGCTATAATCCTCTCATTTAATTTTGATTTGAGCTAGTGGAAAACAGTGTGGTAGTGGTTATGGTATTTTACTGTATAAAAAATGTAAATCTATTAAAAAAAGGTCTTTTCATTAAAATCTCGAAAATTTTTATTTTTCTATTGTACATATCAGGCAATAAATAGGCCTAATTAATCAAATTTCAAAAAAATTGTGTTATTGATAATGATTATACAGATAATAATTAGTGATTATTGAAAAAGGATATTTTGCCACGTGTGTTGGACTGTTAAAATTGTTCTATTGTGTATTTTATTTCTTTGAATTGCAATTTAGTAAATTTCCAATTCAACTTCCAGTTCAATTATTTTCAATTTCTGACTAATGAATTTAAAGGGACCCAAATAATGATATATAAACTGTTTGTTCACCAGTGTCTAAAAAAATACAAGTTGATTTATTTTACAGTAAAATATATAGTGACATGTATACTTTAAGCATTGAGTATTACATTATCTAATGTTTCTTGAAATACTCGATGTGTTGAATGTATTAGAGTACATCTGAATGGGTTATTCATATTAAAATTTTTTTTTTT